TGGAAGACAATGGAGGAGTTGCCGCAACGCAAGAAGTTTATAAAGCACAAGAAATAATTTGTTGTTGTGATTATTCGTAATCCATATATATATTGGTATGGCAGCTTTCACTTTTTTAGTTGTTGGCTTGGTGGTTATGTATAGATCTAGAATTTTACCACAATTTAATGTTTTGCAGTTGTTAGGTTTGACATCTTAGCTTGCCCGTGCCGCGAATCAAACGTATATATAGATTTCTAGGTCTAGATGTAGGTCAGGCTCTATCAAATAAGGGGGGGTGGGAACTACCGAAAAAGCGCCGATAGATCTAGATCTAGATCTGTCTAGATCTAGATCTAGATCTAATCTATATCTAGATCTAGATCTAGATCTAGAATTATACGAAGTGACTAGCCGTACTAGTACTAAGATGTCTAGATTCTAGATCTAGATATAGATCTATATCTAGATCTAGATCTAGATCTAGATATCTAGATCTAGATCTAGATCTAGATATAGATCTATATCTAGATCTAGAATCTAGACATCTTAGTACTAGTACGGCTAGTCACTTCGTATAATTCTAGATCTAGATCTAGATCTAGATATAGATTAGATCTAGATCTAGATCTAGACAGATCTAGATCTAGATCTATCGGCGCTTTTTCGGTAGTTCCCACCCCCCCTTATTTGATAGAGCCTGACCTACATCTAGACCTAGAAATCTATATATACGTTTGATTCGCGGCACGGGCAAGCTAAGATGTCAAACCTAACAACTGCAAAACATTAAATTGTGGTAAAATTCTAGATCTATACATAACCACCAAGCCAACAACTAAAAAAGTGAAAGCTGCCATACCAATATATATATGGATTACGAATAATCACAACAACAAATTATTTCTTGTGCTTTATAAACTTCTTGCGTTGCGGCAACTCCTCCATTGTCTTCCAAAACATTGCTCGCGTGTGAAAAGTGTGAACTGTGAACTGTGAACTGTGAACCAAACATTTTTGTCAACAATATGCTGTTGTAGCACAAGCAGTATAAAACATAATGTCAAGATAAAGGTGTTCACCGGACTTTGCAAAATTAGTACCAGAGACATTAAAATATTTAATTAAATACTCTCTGTTAGTACTTTTACGCAACCGCTTTATTTATGATAGGCTTACAGTCAATTCCGAGATATTAACTGTTATTTTGTGTGTGTGTGTGCTTTTTTTGGTTTTGTTATACGAGTCAATAAATGAGTAAAATCTCAAAATAGTCAAACTCACCAGGGTTGAAATGTATAGACAGTTTGAAGTATTCCAAGTCTCTAAACAATTTTTTAAAATGTAATTAATTGGTCAATCATTGCCAAGTGCCAGATCTGCACGGACCATTACTATGATTCCCCATTATAATGATGATAATAATAAAAATAGTAATAATACCGTAATAATAATAATAATTTTTAAAAAAATAATAATAATAAAAATAATAATAATAATAATAATAATAATAATAATAACAATAATAATAATAATAATAGTTAGTTAAGTAGTAGTAGTAGTAACAACAACAACAACAACAACAACAACAACAATAATGATACTACTACTAATAATAATGATAATAATAGGCCCTAATAATAATAATAGGCCCTAATAATAATAATAATAATAATAATAATAATAATAATAATAATAATAATAATAATATAAAATAGGTTCTGAATCTCCTTATTGTTTTCTTCAAACCAGTCCTGATGATGACGACAGGGAAGGCCAATATTGTTCTAGTCTGTCGTTTAGATTATTGCTTTTCATGTCATTAGAAGTGATGGAGATCTTTATCAATCTGGTATTGTATAATATTTAGGTCTCATGGTACAGCTCTGAGGGCTGTTTGTTAAACAGCATTTCATTGCTGTTTATTTGTTTTAAGTCTTTTGGGATGAAGTTTCCTCTGTGGACGACTTTTTCGATATAATCTCGGGCTGACTTTGCTAACAATCAGTCTGTGGTCAGTTCCACTTTCTGCATGGCACATGGCCCGAGGGACTCATGGTGTCTTTACGTTTCACGATAACATTATAATCAATGAGAAGTCGGAGCTTTGAGCGGGGATGCAACTATGATGATCTGAATCTTACTGGCAGGTGAATGTTTGTATTAGTGATGATCAAACCATGTTCTACAAATTCCTGTAACAAATGAAGACTATTGTTGTCACATGAGCCCACACCATGTTTAACAATGACACCTGCCCGGGCAGTAGAGCATGAGCCTACTCTGGCGCTGAAGTCACCCACCAAACAGCTCATCAGAAGCTGAGACAGAACATAGGACGACTTCCAGGTCACAGCGTAATTTACATTTGACATTATCTGGGTTGATTGATCATCGCAGGAGCATCCAATCAAATCAAACTCAATCTCTCCTATGATCCGTAATCCACAACGATCGTAGGGTCGCTGTATGACAGAGAGGATCGCCAGGTGCCTTATTTAATAGGAATGTCATCACACAGCAAGTCTTGGGCTCGTGAAGACTAGCGGCGCCCATCACTCTCCAGGCTTAGCCACAGCCGACTTCCTCCAATACCTGGGGGGGTGGGGGTGGCCTTGACCTTGTGCACGTGACCGTTGTCCTTCATCTGAGAAGTCTACCTGAGGCACAGGTCACACCCCCAGTGGTGCCGTGTTTACACCACCCCTTCACATGCTTTTGCACGTCTGCTGAGGCGATGTCACGGGGTGTGGTGGCACTTGGAGCCAGCATGGGGGAGATTTAGGGGATGGGGGAGGACAAATACGTCCGTCCTTCCTTCTCAGGGAGCAACATAATGTGCACTCACAGATGTTGCATGATGGGTCTTGCCAATCGGAAGTCTCAGAACCATGAGCCTGTCATCAATATTTGGAAAGGATTTCACTTAGGCAGCTATATCATTTTTCACCGCAAAGACAACACAGTTTGCTTTAATTTCTCAAAGATCTTTTCCCTTCCAAAAGAAAGTAAGCCCTATACCCGCTATTTAGTTCTTTAAACTGACCTTCATCAGCAAATCTAGTTTCACCGATATTATCGAGGTCATCATGTCTGAGCTCCTTTGTGATGACTGCTGTCATCCTTTTAATAAGTCTGAAGCCATTGTTCTGAAGTGTATGAATGTTTCGGCGAACAATTTTTATAAGTTTTCTTTTATCATTTCAACCGTATTATGGCATCCCTATTGATCGCAGCAGACCAGTCGGGGGTAAATGTAACGAGCCTTCTTTAGGGAACCTTTTCTAGCCCCTTCTCCTTGAACGGTGGCAGTGGTGTCCTGAAAAGGCTGCTCAGATACCATGGGTGCTGTCAGATCATACCTCCTCCTCAACTCAGTAATGGAATAACCACAGTCCATACGCCACCTCATGTGAAGGTTAATGTTAACAGCTCCTGTACAAACCTTCCGTCATCACTTAAAGAATTTGATAGGGACAGGCGACAAAGACGAGGGAATGGGTATATCACAGCAGATGTTTGACTTGCCCAGATGTTTGTTTAAAGGGATAAAGAGCAGTGCAAACATCAGACTCAAATGTTGTCCTACATATACTTTGTATCTGATGGCAAGCTAAAGAGAAGGTGATCAGATTATAGTACGATCAAAAATATTCGTAACGCAACTTATCCTCATCATGTGCCCCCATACTTTGTACAGCAGTTTTTATCAGCTTGTCTTAACTTAATCATATTTTCTCACAACAAATGAGGCTAGATTTTAAAAAAAACTTTTTTCATGAATTTATAGAGAATACTATAAATCTTCATCAAGGGGAAATTTGGAATTGTTCACAGCATTCCCTGTTTCTCTCACACATTTTGTATAC